GCCATCAACCGGATTCACGAAAGACGCGGGAAAGCAGCTCAGACCGCTGTGTTGGCACCAAGTACCGGGGGGTGCACGGGTACGGTAGAGCGAACAGGTCCGGGGTTCACCTTTGGTTGACATGCATGTATCGCGTAGTTCTTGGATGGGTTTGAACGTTTGAACTGGCTGATGGTTCGAAGCAGCAGTCGACGGCCTACCGTACCGAAACAGCACGAGGGGGAAACTGCTGATGCAGGATACCCACAAGATATTGGACACAACGATACAACGAGGAATGGAGTTTGTCTGCACATTTTCTCTCTCTCTATGTATTCTCTCACAACCATTCCTCATAGTCATGCTTTGCTCCGAGCACCGATACCCAGCTGTAGTGGTGATGCCGGTCACAAATCCGCATCCAGACTGCACATGTGTCAGTCTGTAAGGAAGGTACATTGTACACACAGATACATGCCACGACTATTTAGACTGCTGTTATTATAACGCGAGTTGGAAGAGCTGCTTCTCGATACAGGGGTTTTTGGTGCCATACACAGCGAATGTTCGTCCATAACGACGGGTACCTTCAGCTCTTCAGCTCCGACCGTCCTATGCATAACACCCGGAAGTTCGGTTCCCTCAGGCCCGGCATGTCGGCCTGCAGCAGCGCAGTTACCCCTTGCCGTTTGACCTCGGTGTTTGCACAAGGTCCGGGAGAGGGCAGCGATCGATCCGCTGCGGAAGGCAACACCTCGACGCAGCATGCACAACAGCGCAAGCGACATCACGGTCAGGGTCACACCGACCCGAGGCTCGATCACACGTAAGCCCATCCCATCGAAGAGAGCGAGAGACCTGAGTGCGTTACGAGCTACTGTGGTTATTATGTTATTATGAAGTTATGACAAGCGACAGAACCCGCCGAGTGTAGTTTTTTTTTGTCCTGACAGTCCCGCGTAGGCTCCCTGGTCGTTTATTCTCTGCCCTCTGCTGCCCTCCGCTGCTACTGCTGCTGCACAGCTGTCCGTGGGCGTGGTAGGTGGAGAGAGGGAACGCCTCTCCTATACTGCTACCCAAATTTGTGCACCTTTGGTTGTATTGGTTGTCTTGGGTATACTACAGCAGTTGCGAAGTCAGGCTGTAGAGCTTGCGCCTCCACACGAGCAGCAGTCCTTCCACCAGCAAACCTGTTTGCAAGCAAGCAGCAGCATGAGTGCTGCTGGTGGTGGTGCGGCTGCTCCAAAGCTTCTTCCTCGCCACCACGACGAGTTCCGATCCAAGGAGTACTGGGACTCGTTCTTCCAGCAGAGGACTGACGCCTTCGAATGGTGAGTCGAGAGCAGCGGCAGCCTTCGACCGGGCCGAGAGCAACATTGCCACACTGCCAACCACGCCAAAAGGAGAGCTGCTGTGTGCTGTGCGGAAGGTTGCAGGGCTTCTGCCATGTCCATCCGCTCTTCTGGCATGATTGCACGCCTGTCCGCAAGCAGTGGAAGAAAAGAGATAACCGCTGCAGGACCCTCTGTGTGTGTGTGTGTGTGCCTATGCATTCATGCGGAGACGGCACGCTTAGCCTATACCCTTCGCAGGAATCAATGATACCGTCGGTGTGCTGTGCGGCCGTACAATAGCTGTTACCCGCAGGGGAGATGTCCCTATATGCTGTCTGGGAAATCGTAGACATACAGGTACTTTCTGACGCTATGAATCCATTGCTAATCTGTCTCAGACTATTTTCTATGATAGAGATGGTTTCGTTGTGCCATACATTAAGAAAAAAAAAAGAAAAAAAAAGATGGTTGTACAATATGCGGTATAAGGTGCACAAGAGTACACATGAGTCCATGTTTGGTTCCACAGCTCTTCGTCCTGGTGCAGAGCCAGACCAACTCTTTGGCTAACACGAGTCGTTTCGCTGCGGGTGCTTTTGGTGCCAGGTATGGTGAGTATGAGGACCTTCGGAAGCTCGTGCACCGGACGCTGCGGCGCACGGAGCGGATCCTGGTCATCGGATGCGGAAATTCCAACTTCAGCGCCGAGTTGTACGACGACGGTTTCGAGGAGGTGAGACTGGCAACAGTCAACAGCATGCTTTGGGCCACGTTAGCCCGAGCCCAACTCCGGCTGTTCGCAAGCTGTGTGTGCGATGGCGCTCCGTACTCTGTAGTCGAAGGTTGGTCGTGACATATCGTTTCAGATCGAGCATGTTGAGGTGTTGAGGTTGCTCATATGGGGTCCAACCGATCGATCATGAGCACCTTTCACGGGGGGCGATTGTCTGCCTCATCTTCCTTGTTCTGCCCCCCTTTCGGTGCAACGCTTGTAAACTCAGATCGAAAACGTGGACTTCAGCGATCCGGTGATCGCTGAAATGCACCGCTCTCACTCCGGAGTGCGTCCCAAAATGACGTGGACTGTCATGGACGTAACGGACATGAGAGGGTGAGAATCTTCGTATACAGTACATCGGTGCTTGGAAACAATGAACCGGACTGGAGATTTATAGGGAACCGTTGGAGTGGATGATGCCTCTGGTGCCGACCTCACGAACATTTTGACACTCACCGTTTCAAGGGGGGGAAGAACAGGGGTTTTGACGCTGGCTCTTTTCCTATACTTAAATCCTATACAAAGAAAGAAAACAACCTTCCCGCCAGGGTTAGGTTAGGCGTTCTATTGTCATCAGTAGAGGGCACCATGAAGAGGCGTCGTTAGTGCTGGCACGTTCAGGTTTGCTACTGGAGCGGAAATATCGAAGGTCGCAGCAGCCTCTGAAAACAGTCCGAAATCTGGGCCGGAACCAAGCGGCATCCAACATTAGTCACAGCCATGCTCACCGCCACGGACCGTAAACCCCTGAACGGGGTGTCAGCAGTAGGTAGTGGCATCAGCTACTGCTGTAAACCCGTAGTTCAGGAGATTGGGGTCGGTGGCGTCGAGCATGGCTGTGACTAATGTTGGATGCCGCTTGGTTCCGGCGCAGATTTCGGACTGTTTTCAAAGGCTTCTGAGAACTTCGATATTTCCGCTCCAGTAGCAAACCTGAACGTGCCAGCACTAACGACGTCTCTTCATGATGCCCTCTACTGATGACAATAGAATGCCTAACCTTAACCCTCCAAACTGACCTTGTTTGAGCGCCTTCCGTTTTGACTCTTTTGACTTGGAATTTAGAATGGTGTGAATTTTATTGATTTCAAAGGAGGCCTGTGGAGGTAGACACGTGAAATGTATGTTTTGAGAAGCCTCTACTGCCGCCCTGTGCGAGAATCAACGATTTCTTTTTTTCACGATGCCTCCCGACTGGTTTTGTGTGTCTGTTGTACAATTTCTGGACCTCTTGCGTTTGTTTTCAAAATTCGTAAGCATCAAAATTACTCTTCTTCCCCCCCTTGAGACCGAACCCCCCCGGGTGCTAATTGACTCCCTCTTGCGGCACCAGAGTTTTTCACCCATTACTCTAACAGAGGGAGGGTTTCTGGGAATGCTGATGAAACAGACAGTTTCCTTGCCTCGTGATCATTTATTTTGTCTTTATTGCGCACCAAACTGCACGGCAAGCAGCACTATCTTAAGGTTCAGCAGGCTCACGTGTCAGACGCGGGTGGGCATATCGCGCGCGTGCTGGCGGCAGCATGATCTGCAGCATGAGTCTTCCGCGAAATTCAGCTGCGGCATGAGCCTTTCGCGAAATACAGCGCAGCAGGGCGGCACCCGAGAATCAGGCACGGGATGAAGTTCATCAACATCGAAACCGCCGTGAAGACGTATTAATCCAGCCTTCCAACTCAACCCACATATTCATCGTTCGGCGAAACTGTACGTACGGTACCCTGTTTTTTTCGTGCACTCGCAGATACGAAGACGGCTCTTTCGACGCAGTTGTAGACAAGGGGACCCTCGACGCCCTCATGTCAGAAGACACCGCCGAGGTCAGGAAGAGCGGCGAAGCCATGCTGCGGGAGGTTAAGAGAGTCCTCAAGCCCACGGGAAGGTCGGTCGGTGTTGGTGGAAAAATCCGTGTATAAGTGCACTGCTGCTGCTGCTGCTGCTGCTGCTGTCGCTGTTGCTCGTGCAGCTTTCCCGGCGCCGCAACTCGTCCTGAATCTATCGATCTGTGATTCTTTTAACTTCAAGAATTCCAGCACGGGGAGTGTCGGTTGAAAGGATGACTCGATACGTACCGGTTCTTTCTATAATAGTGTAGGGGGCGCTATCCCACGGTGTGTTTACTTTGCGTGTGGTCGACGTAGCGGACAGTGCAGATCTTGCAGCTTCGATTCTGTCGACCTCTGACCGGCCCGTTCCCGTCATTAACCATCAACCCTTTGCCTTACTGCTGCCTTACTGCTGCTGCTCGAAACCTCCTCGAAACAACAACGCCCCGGGAACAGGTACATGTGCGTGACGCTTTGGCAGGATTTCATCGGCTCGGCCTTCCTCTCCTCGTTTGCACCGGCCGCCGTTCTCCCCGCCGCCGGCGCTGCTGCCGCTGCGGCCACCTCCGGCGGCGACGGGGGCGGTATGTCTTCTTGGAAGCTCGACCTGCACTCCGCAGCCGCCACGTCCAAGCCCTCGCCCTACCTCCCCGTGTGCATGGTTGCGGCGAAATCGTCGGTCACCCACGAAAGAGAACCTATCGCGGAGGCCGGTGGCGAGGGGGGGGGGGGAGCTATGCGCGTGACGGCGTGGTGCGACAGGGCAGGGAGACCGCTGGATGTCGGAGGGGAGGCGTCGGTGCTGGTTGGCGAGACAGAAGTAAGCGGAAGGCGGGGGGGGAAAGCGGTGTATCATTGCGAGTGTTTCTAAGGCTGCTTGTCAGCACCGCTTGTTGAGGCATTTGGTCGGCGTGGGATACGCGCGTTCCGCCGTTCGTTTCGATTTCGTGTGTTGCAGTTGCCGCGCCCCAAGATGAACGGTTATTGGATGGTGACCGTCCCTACGAGACATGCGCCATGAGGTGGTGTTCAAGTTATTTTCTTCAGGCTTTTATTTGTCATGGTCTTTCGATATGGTCCGGGGCGGCTTGTCGCCGCTGCTACTGGATAGCAATACTGAAGGGGGGGTGAAAAAGGGGGAAGGGAGGGATCCAGCTACGCTACCTACCTTTACCTCCGAATCTCAGTTTTCACCAGTGTCATTTCCAACTCCTCAGCTCGACACGTGGTTTCAATGCTTTTGGGCCCGTACCGACGCTCCCCGCCTCCCTGCCTTGTGCCGTTTTTACGCTGACGGCGGCGGCTCGCGGTGCTCTGCGTTTGTTTGCCTCACCCAGGTGCTGCTACACGTGAGAGAGGCGCAAGAGATGCACCGCCGACGATTCGACCTCAGGGAGATCAAGCCGGGTAGATTTCAACAGGCAAGAAAACCAACAACAGACCCCGGGACCGAGGGTTGAGGGGGGGGACCGACAGACGTATATGTAGCACAGCAACTAATGTAGAAACGAGCGGGCGAGAGGGATAGGAGCAGATCTTCCGTGGGTGCCCCAAAGATGCGGTCTGCATCACGGCCGTCTTGGTCCTGTGACCACCACACGCACGAAGCACCCGAAGTTTTCGTGCACAGATACGGATCCCGTTTTCCTATTCTTTCCTTTGTGCCTGGCTTCTCTTACCCCCTCTCCCTCTCTCGCTTTGTGCAGGAGGACCTGTGGGGAGAAGGGGAACACGACTCCCCCCGCTTTACGCTGCTAGTCGTGGACGTGTCCAGCGACGGCAGGGCGAGCACGGTGCCTTGCGCGGTCGTGCTGATTCCTCGCGGCAGGGACCGAGACTTTACCTTCTCGTCTCGCGAGGGTCTCCATCAGGTCCGCCATTCTGCGGATCCCCTGCCTAGCCAGTGTGTTGCTGCTGCACCGCCCCATTTTCTTCTTCCGTTGATGCTGTCGTCGCCTTTTTCCTTCCGTCTTAGACCCATCGGAACTCGATGCGATGCCTTAATGAGTGCCTTGATTTTTCGCGCTTGGTAAAGCGGAGTTTTTGTTGCGCGCGGGCTGCTGCAAATGGATGTTGCGCTGTTGAATCGACTCTCCTTCCGCCCTTCGTGGTCGGAGTCCGTGTAGAGGACAGACACGACACTTGCCGAGTTTATCGTGATTGTGTGCCATGGATGGTGCCGATCACCCCTCAAGCAATCCGCACAACCTCCCCGGAAGGTATGTGGGTGATTTTGGTTCTTCTTCCACCGGGGGTACCCAACAATGATGCAACCGCACTATTCTCTGCCGTATACCCATGACCACGTTCCGTCCAGGTGGCCGAAAGCGCGAACGCTCGTCGTCTTATCGCCGTCCGCCTCAACCGCGGGCACGACTTCTCCCACGGGGTGGAAGGGGTCAAGGCGGAGATCTCCCCTTCCATCTCCGACTTTGCTCCCGAGGCTTCGGCGGCGGCCACCGGAGGGCCCGGCATCCCCATCATGGCCGTGAGTGTGGCTGTGGCTTTGTCGGGTCTCTTAGCTTGCGCGTCCTGATGTTTTCGGGTGACTTCGGGGGTGATGGGAGTTGTCTCTGCGCGTCTGGCTGCGCTGCGCGTCAAGTGTGTTTTGCCTTGATGGCACGTCAGTGTTCCGCGTAAGGAAACGATCGATTGTGGTGTGGTGTGGTGTGGTGTGGTGTCGGGATCACGTGGGTGTTTTATTTGGTTGATTTGGTGTTCAGTTTGCTTCCACACCGCCGAGAGTATTTAAATAGTGTTGCTTCGTACCGGGTACCTTTTCGCTAAGCGGAACTCCTGTGGGTGTCTTGGCTATTGGGATCCGCCCGGCCGTCACCGTGACTCTCTTCGTTCCGACTCCACAGGTGGCCGACGGCTTGGGCGCGGAGGGCAGGGTTGTAGCGGAAGGGCGCCTGGAGTGCAGCGGCAACTACGTGGTGGAGGAGGAAGAGGAGGAGGACGAGGACGAGGATGAAGACGAGAGTCGGCCGGCTGGGGTCTACCGAAGGCTGATTTTCCTCAAGAACGAGGGCGTGGTGCAGACGGAGGTAAGTGGCGGCGTTTCGAATGGATGGATGACGAAAGAGCTGCTAGACTTTGAGGCACGCCTACGAGCGCTTGCTCGGCGGCTCGGGGGCGGGTAGGCTAAGGGTTATCCTGTAGGATGTTGTTTCGTCTTGCCACGTGTTTGGGGGCACTGCAAGCACGGGCCTTGTGTCTATGGTACCGTGACGGAATGGGAAGCAAGCCACCTAGCTTATAAGTGGGACGGAGCGTTTTTCTTAAACAATCACTATTTTCACCATCGCTGCTCTGGGAGGGGCAGAGCCATGGGCTCTTTGTCATCGCATGTCGACAGGCCATGTAAGTTGTATGCATAGCTATTAATAGATTAATAGTGGCGTTTGTTGCTGCTGCCGACGACTAGTAGCATCTTCAGGTCGTCTCAGCATTGCTCTCAATCCTGAGGAAACGACGTGAAAATTTAAAACAGCACCTGCACACACACCCTAAGGAGGATCGTTTTGCTGTTCCAACCAACGCGTTTCAGTAGTGCTGACCAATGGACTTCATCACATGTCTTTGTTGAGCTCCCCCCCTCTCCGGATGCCCACCGCTCCTCCTGGGGGCACGAAAAGGTACGAATGCTGGGGGAGGGAGAGGACGACGGGGCGCGGCCCCCGCCGGCTTTTTCTCGCAAGTCCTCCAAGAGCGGGGGCGGCAAGAAGGGGAAGGGGAAGGGGAAGGGCGCAAAAGGCGGGAAGAAAACGCCTCCGCCTGCGGCGGTGGCGGCTGCTGCTGGTGGTGGGGGTGGAGAGGGTGTGGTTGAGGGGGGAGGCAGGGTGGACTCTAGCCACCTTTGCTTCGAGTACCACAGGTAGGAGGGGGGGCATGGTCCCGCGAGGTAGTTGTTGGCAACGTCTTGCAAGAGGTTGTTTTCTACCTTGTCACGCGTAGCGGAGGCGTCCTTCTGTTTTCTCGACGCCCTGCCTTTCTCTGTGCATGATCTCGCTCCCCGTATTGCTGAAGGTGTAGCTTTCTCCGGGAAACCGTGCCGATTCCGCCGCACCCGACAGCCCACTGTTTTTGGGGAATCTGCATGTCTGATACGGCTACACAGCTTACTAGGATGCCCTCATGAAGCGGAAACTCCAACATCAGGAGAGCTGTTTCTCTACACACGCACCGTCGTATGTGTGACTGCTCAAGGACGTACTGCACACGGAATATAGGCTTGGATGGTGTCAGGCATAGTTCCTGTCTTGTATTGGTTCGTGACAAACTTGCATTCCAAACATGTGCATGGGGTACATGACCTAGACACGTTTGCGTCTGTGGTTGCTCTCTCTTTTGAGCAGGTGCATGATCGCCGGCGCCGCTTTTGCTGACTTCCGCATCACCACCGGCACAAGCGGCGGCGGCGGCGGCGGCGGCGGCGGTGGGCAACAAAAAGATAACCGAGCCGGCGCCCGAGCGCCCACCGCTCTCGTGATTGGCCTAGGCGGGGGCGCTCTTCCTATGGCTCTTCGGCGAATGTACCCAACGGTGAAGGTGGCCACGGTAGAGCTGGACCCTGAGATGGCGGGGGTAGCCAAGGACCACTTCGGGTTGAGGGAATCACCGGATGGCCTCAAGGTGTGCTCGTGTGAAGGCGCATTCGGGTACCGTCCCGGGAGTTCCTGCTGTGATGTGGACGGTCTATGTTGCCACGGTTCGGGGTAAACCCTTGCGGAATATGTTGGTGCTGTGAAAAGGGGACTGAGTTGATTCCATGCGCTGAGAGAGAAGGCTGGTTGCGAGTGTTGTTTTTCGTTCTCAGGATCACCGAACCACCAAATGTTACGCCGGGCACTGTGTGCTGCCGTCGTATAGCCTTCACACGGTGACTCTAACGCTAAATCTAGGGTCCTCCGCCGCTTGGCTTTGTGACATACGTGGGGTGCAGTATCACCCCCCCAATGCATCCTTGTCGCTAACGCTACGGCCCCACCACCCTTGCCCAGGTCATCGTTGAGGACGGTGTAGCCTTCGTGAATGCTGCCGTTGTCTCTGCTACTGGCGAGGATGGGTTGCCCGCCAACGCCGCCCGGCTTGATTCAACGTCACAACCATTCACAAAACCGACTTCAACGCCCGATCTCTCGGGCACCCCCGCGGGCTCAGCCCCTGCGGCGGCCGACCCACCAAAGCCGGCGGCAGCGTGCTGCGCCGACGGTGGTCTTGCCACGGAGGCGGTGCTACCGCCTCGGCCCCCGGACGCTAACGATAGCGGCCATCAAACCGGATGGGGAGAAGCGTTCGGCCCGCCATACTCGGCCATTTTTCTCGACGTCGACAGCAAGGACACCTCGGTGGGGATGAGTTGCCCCCCGGCGGCGTTCCTAGAGCCCGCCTTCCTGACCAACTTGAAAACCCTCCTAGATGGTGGTGGTGGTGGTGGTGGTCAGGGGGGTACCGGGGGACCTGGGATTTTGGCGATCAACGTGGCCGCGCGGTCGAAAGAGCTCTTTGGCGGGGCGGTGGACGCTGTCTGTGCAGCGTTTGCAGGAGGAGAGGTGAGTGCCATCCGCCGTCGCTAGGTCGTAACGTTTGTGCTTGCGTTTCCTGCGTACAACGGCGAACCAATTCGGAGAGAGGCGGAAGGTGCTGAGTCAAACGTTACGTGGGAAACCTTTTTTTTTGCGTGCTGGGTATGTTGGTACCCAGGGTTGACTGAGCTGCATTGTTTTGACGCTGGAACAGGTCCACAAACTCCGTGCCGGTGCGGACGACGTGAACTCCGTGGTGCTGGCGTTACCCAGACCGAGGGGACGCGCGCGATCGGGCCCCCTGTTGGCGGTGGCGGAGCAGGCGCTGACGTCTGCGACAGTTTCCAGGAAGTGAGACCGACTGACTTAGTAACGCTTGAACGAGTGGATCGGATTTGTGTGTGTGTGTGTAATGGCGTTTTTGACCATTGAAGGTAGAAGGGGGCGAGGGCAAGGTCGTGGAACGCGTCTGGAGGTAGTTTCTGCGCAATACTTTGGTCTTCCTTTTCTTGTTCTCTTTCCGTGTGGCGATCTGCTCTCTGCTTCGGATGTTTGTTTTTCTCGCGCGTTTGGTTGGTCCTTGACCTTTTTGTTGCTACACGCACCACCATCGAACAGCCGCAGGACGCTTGGGCTAGCCACACAACCACGTGTGCAACGCGGCACCACGACCGGGTTGCTGTTTTTTGTTTCTTTCGCGACCAGCACGTCTTTCGCTTGCATCTGCCACGCCTTGTTTGTTGTTTGCTCCTGACAACATGCCATGCAAACTCATGGTGTTTTTGCCGAGTTTTCCAAACGCAGTGATCTAGTTTCTACAGTAGTGTGGGTCCCACGCACGACGAGCATTCCATGGTTTTAACCATGGCTTCCGCGGATCAAGGTGTCCAAAGGTGTCCGTTGCCTCAACTACCACACGCGCCGTCGTGTTCAACCCTGCCCTACCCCTGTCCCCGCTCAGAGCATTGGCGAGCATTCTGGAAATGTGTGATCGTGCCGAGATGGTGCAAGCGGCGCAACCGCCCAAGACGAAGTCCAAGACAACCGCTGGCGGGAAGGGCGGGAAGAGCAAGCGCTCGGGCCGTTGAGAGCTGCTTGTTGAGCAAGGCTCCCGGTGTCTGGCTACAAGTTTACGAAGGGGCGAGGATGATACAGGGAGACCCGCCACAGACTACTGGTTTGCTGTTTTCGTGGGGTTAGAAGAAGCGGCCAAGCTAATCGGTACGCCACAGGGGCAAGGGATAGATGGAAAAAGCGGTTCCCATGGGACATCAGCGACCCACTTGCCAGCTCCTCAGGCCGAGGAGGCGCAGTTGGAGACGAGCCAGAGGGTGTTGTCCTCTGCGTCGAGAGCCGTGGAAAAAACTGGTCAAGGCAGAGTGGTACGTGTGTTGAAGGGGCGAGGGGACAGACAGCGAGACAATCGCGACGCACTTGTCTCTCTTGGATGTGTTTTCCGTGGAGGAACTAGACTAAAGAGGCTCCAACCTCTGTAGTGTAGCATGTTGACTAAGCGAATGCAGGCCGCCAGCAGTAGAAGTACGTGTGGTCCTTTTGTATGCATCGGTTCCCAGAACATTTGGTGGTTGTGTGATGTTGTTACAGGCCTTGTGCCAAAACTGCTACCCAGCACATGCTTGGTTGGCGAAGGTCGTGGATTCAAAATCCCGGCGTGACGCAGTGGTGTTTCGGAAGCGCTCGTTCCTGGGTGAAACAAGTTCGACATACATGACATGATTGGTGACGAGCGAAAGAAGATTGCAGATCCTTCCTCGTGATGCAATCGAAGGCATGCAGCGCTTAGCAACTCTTCCGTGCGACTCACTCCCACTGCGGACCCGTATCCCTCAGCACAAAAGCACGGAGGGCCATACATGGTATGGGTTGATATCGCAAGCGACGGTATCAGAAGTGATCGCTTCAAAAAAACATTTACGATGGATTTCATATCCTCTGTGTTTGCCGAGAAGCTGGCCGATTGGCCCGATAAGCCGTTCCTAAATAGCAGTGCGTTGTAGTTTGAAAAATGCATGAGTTTCGTATGCCTACGTCGCCCAAGATGTCCATTGTTTGGGTGCATAATCCCTGTTCGAGTCACAACAGATAACTACCCTTGTTCTTGCTCCTTCTTGTCCTGCAGTAGCACCAACTGATGCATGGTGTTGTTCACACCGCCGCCGTGCGATGCACGTACCTCCGCTCTATACTCAAGTGTACCCCAATCAAGTCGCAACATGTCGCAGGCTACTGCTGTAAGCTCGTTCTTCGTCTACTGCGGCGCCTACCACCGGGGTCACCGCGAACGATATTGACGTCATGACGTCATGCCAGGCGGAAGAGCTTTCTCCCAAGAACACCGATACATATCTTTAGTCTAAAACGTCTCGGTTGATCCACATCTAGAAAAAGCAACCACTGACTGATGCGCGCGCCAGCTCTCGAGAGACCTACGACAAAACACGGTTCTATGGAGGCGTTTGACTTTGGGGTATTACTCTCGCCGCTCATCGTCGAGATACACCCCCGTCCCGCCGTTCATGGACTCATGGTTGTCTTCGCGGTCCGTGGCCCCCTTTTCTCTGCAACACTTTGTCTCCAGGATGTGGTTAGAGCTCCTTCAAGATGTTGCCGTCGTTGCTGTTGTTGTTGCCGCTGCTGCTGTTGTCGCTAGTGTCTTCTCCGCAGGTCGGGTGTCCGCTTCTTTTCTTTCTCTATCGAAGGACTTCAAGCTTTCCACCACCTACGCCAGAAGAAAAACAACAACGCCGAATGCGACACTCTTGTCAAAGCTAAAAACAGACGATGATGCGAGTGCGACAGATACACAAGATCTCTGGTTGAGCTCATGAAGACACGGCAAGGAAGCACAGGTCAAGGCTACGGCAAACGCAATCTCTCCTCGAAAAACAATCAACACGAGAAAGAGGAAAAGGTATCGCTACTACAACCTACGGTGAGGTTGGAGGTAGAGGACACACCCGGAGAACCATGGACATTATCATATACAATTTTACTAATCCATGGACACATGATTTTGATTTCGGATGCTCGCTGCCGGCGGTACCAGGCCGCGGCAACGTCCTTCTCGCTGGGAATGGTGAGGACCGCAATAATGCTGTTGTCTGTGGAGCGACAGGCCTGGGGTACGGCCTCGTATTGTATGCATACCGTGCTGAGGGTTCTGAGGGTAGACTGACGTAGGGTAAGTACCCTGCAGACGCCCCGATTCGGCACCACAGCGACGACGATGACGACGACCTGGAGAGGTGTGATTGGTGCAGTAACAACAACAGAACGGTCATGGTTCGAACGGTAAGACTCAAAGCTTTCGCTCACCCTCGGAGGCCACTTGAGCTGGTCTTTGAGATATGAGTCCTTGAGATACATCTGCTGATCCACGATGTTGATGCCTCTCCAAGCTCCCTCCGCCGCCTTCATGTCCCCTCGGCCAAATTCGATTGCTGTCATCGCCGCTTGAACCTGAGACGGTTAGGCATTCGTTTTTCATAAACAAAATGCCACGTAAAATCTACACTGGACCGTACATGTACCTAGTAGTGTTCAACCCCAAACTCCATTTTTTAACGCAGACTGGCCGTGTATCAGAGCTTGTATCGCTCCGCAATTTAATACTCGAAGGCCTGCCTTTTTACGAGGTTGGGCGGCTTCGTTGTTCTTGTCTTGGTTGTTCCGACAAACTGGCATTCATGCCGCATACCATTCTGTTCTGAAATATACAAGTAGGACCATTCGGATACTATGCAATGTGATTGTCCCAACGTATATATTTTTGGGTGGCAGCCGGCATCAAAAGAAATTGCACTCGTGGGGAATTGAGTTCGGCGGCTGGCCTGGTAGGAAGCAACAACAGTTCCTGCTCTACACCATCTGCTTCAACCCGCATCTCTCTGTCTCACACCATTCGAGAGTGAGCCATCATATGGGCATTCCGTGCCGCTCGCTCTACGTATTCATGAACATACCTCGCCCACTCCCTCGAACTTGGCCTGAACCCGTTTGAGGAAGGCTAGGCTGTCGAAGTCCCTCCCCTCCTGGAACAGCACAAGCGAGTACCTTATCCACCACGGCTGCACGTTCCCCGGCTGCACGTTAATTGCCCCTGGTCTCAACCAAGCGTCGAAAACCACGGAACGAACAGAGACGGGGGGGGGGGGCACCGCGGAATGCGTAGGGGTGGGCGAGACGCGGGGGACGGGAGGGCGTCACAGCAGTGTGTTCTCGGTTTCCTGCAAGTCGTGCGTTAGGCGGCCTCGTCCTCACGTTCTGTCCCACTCCGAGGCTAGCGGAGCAAGCGCGTGGGGAACGGGGGATCCGGCTTCCTTCATCTCGTTGGGCTTTCGCGGAAAAACTATATTCACACCGTGACCAAACAAGAATACCTACGGGTAAGGGAGATACATGGACTCAAGATCCGGGTGAAATTCAACGGAGATCTTCTGTGTGCGCATGTTCTAACCCTGCGGTGAAACTGTTCGAGGTTCCCCCTGCCCACCCCGTGCGGACCGACACCAGCCAACACCGTCGGCACCCACAAAAGAAATCATGCGTGGGCAGCATGCGTGGGCAGCATGCGTGGGCAGCTATGTATCCTGTGTTTCCGCTCGTTTCCGCTGCCCCCCTCGCCGCCCCTCTTCTCCCGCCCCCGCCCCGGTGTCAAACTCGTACTTCTTCTTACGCTGCTCGCCCTTTCATACATTGCTTGGGCACAGGCCACACGTACAAAATCGGTCGCCACAACAAAGGACGGAGGTGCAGCAACACCGCCACATGTACGAAAACACCTCCTCCTGCGAAACAACATCAACAACAAACCAAGATCCCTCCTCTTCTCGCTCACCCTCGTAATCGGCCAGGGCTTTCGCCCAGTCTCCCCTTCGCTCGAAAGCCTGCGCGCGGTTCGCCTGCAATTGTCGGAGGCGGGGCGAGGGGGCGACATTTGACAAGGAATATGGTCTGCTCGCCAACTCCGGCACTGATGCTATAATAGTGGTGATGTTGCTGGTGACGTTAAGCGATGGTGGTAATGGTGGCTTTCACTGCAGTGCGCATTTACTTTCTCCCTCCTCGTGCACATGTTGATTGACATATGGGGAGAGCAAACAGGCAAGCAAGGGAGCACGAGTGTAGCAGTCAACAAAGCCTTCGTGCTTGGACAGCACGTGTTTCGAGTATTTCGGGAGACAAATTAACCTCGACAAAACTGATCGACCTCTGAAATGAGAAATAGAGGTGCTGACTGAGGGATGGACGCGTGGGCGAATCGTAGAGCAGCTGGGAGAGTCACGTCGCCATTCGCAAGCTAGCCTTCATTGTGACACTGGGCAAAACCAAGCCCTGAGAGAGACAGAGAGAGAGAGAGAGAGAGACAGAGAGAGACAGAGAGATAGACAGAGAGAGAC